CGGAAATTCCGATGCCAAGGCTGGAAAAGTATAGGGACCTTGACGTGATAGTGGTGAGAGTTCCATGCGGAGGAGGAAACGAGAAGGAGGGGATTAGGGATGTGTTTAGGTTACAGGTTAATCTCGTGGTGGCAAATCTTGCGGTGGAGAGTGGGAGGGTGAACCCGGATTCTGATCGGACGGTGTACGTTGTGTTTGTGGGGTCTTGTGGACCTATGATTGAGATATTTAGATGTGATGATATGGTGATGCATGTAGGGGATTACCGGGTTTACACGCCGGAATTGAGAAGATTAAAACTGTAGATGTAAAAATCTACCTGTACGGAAAAGGGGGTCTGATCCCGCGAGGTTGAGGCCACTAGCGATCTGCTGTACCTGCACACGTAGAGAAACACACGCGTGAAGCGAACTTGATTCTCCACGGTGGGCGCCAAACTGTAGATGTAAAAATCTACCTGTACGGAAAGGGGGGTCTGATCCCGCGAGGTTGAGGCCACTAGCGATCTACTGTACCTGCACACGTAGAGAAACACGCGCGTGAAGAGAACGGGAAACACCAGGGTGGTGTTTGTCGTAGGCACTCCGACGCTCAAGTCAGCAAGGCTGAGAGGCTAATATAGTGAGGGCTAGGGAATGAGAGATTACCGGAAGTCCAGTCGGGGACTGGGACTACGGCGAATAAGCGAGACTCAAGTGAAAAGCCTCGGGTGAAGGTGTAATGTCGATCCCCTTTGTGAGAGGGCTGGCCTCTGCTTATATAGTGGTCGTCTGGTTTCCCAATCCTGGTGGGAGCAGGAGTCCTAGTGTGACTGTGATGCCAACCCTAGAAGAATCAGGGCCGTAATCAACTGTCATTATCAGTGTCTAAATAGGAAGTTAATTCCATTTAGGAGAATGACTCCCAAGTAAGAAAGTCGCCAGGAAAGAGGAAGACGACCTTGAATAGGGGATTGATCAAGAATGGGAAAATGTTGAAGGGGCTATGGGCTCTGGGCTCACCCATAGGCCTAGCCACTGGACAGAGCCTATTAGGTTCGTGCCCATGTGGTTCGGGCCGGTTATGCTTCGTGAGAGATAGGGCTAATCCTGATTGGGCCTCTGCAAGATTGGACCTGGTCATTCTTCACCAGTGATCTTGTTTTCCTATTTAGGCCGAGGACGATTTTTGGCCCTAACAGTTTGTCCCCCACTCTTTGAGTTGAGAGTAACTCAAGTCAGAGAGTAGGTTACGTAGAAGTCAAGCTCGGTCTTCCCTCATGGACGAACGACCATCGAAATGATTGCTCTGACCATTGTAGGCGATTCATGGTTGAATCCCGCTCGGTATCTCCTCCCGACCCAAGATTTTCTATCCTTTTGCGGTGCCTGGTCGATTCGGCGAGCTGAAGAGTAAGGAGCCGGATGCGATCGGTCGGTGAATCCATACGACTGGCAGGGGACTGTTAAAAAGGCATTCATTGGATATCGGGTCGGACAGGTCCGGGAAGTGTCAAGAGCTTCGATCGATCGGGATGAAGGGACGACTAAGCAGGTGAGGCGTCTCGGGTGCATGCCATCCGTTCGTTCTTTATGGACGGGTGATTGGGCGAGGCTCAAATCTTGTTCCGAAGGTGGTTCGACCTGGACCATTCTCGACTCGTGCATCGGTCGACCAAGCCTTCCAGGTCGGCTGAGCGTGGGATGCTTGGGAAGGTCCCCGAACAGCAAAGTCGGCCGGATGGATCGAATGGCCGAATGAATTTGTTGGCGCGTGTAGACTGCACGCGTGTCGGACTCATTCCAGGCGGTACGAATGGAGTCGATCGGAAGGGATGAGCGATCGAGATGCAGGTTCCGTACGGCACAAACGATTTCCCAGGCGATTTGGATCGCTGCCACGTGTATGGTGGTGATCTGTCCGCCGTTTCGAGAGCGGGAAAACGAAAAGACTCCTGACACCTGGCCAATCGCAACCTGCCACGTGTCCACGCTTTCTTTACAAATTTGGAGAATCGGCTGTTCGTCTTCCATTTGCGTTGGTTTTGAGTTTTCGTCTGAAAAAAAAATTCTTTTCCTGTTTTTCTTCGTTTTTGTCCCCGTTTCTTGAGCAAATGTGGTCTTCTCTTCGATCATCCAAGGTAATTCTTCCTTTTGGCGTCGTTTTGCTGTTCTGTAGGTAGATTTCTCTTTTGATAAAATTTCTGGGAAGTAAAATAAGGATGTTTTGAGTTTTTGGGTGGGTTTAAACTGGGTTTTCAAGCGTTTTTGGTGTTAGGACTTTGGTGGATACGTCTGGGTTTGAGTTTTCCGGTGGATATCCGGGAAGAATTGGGTCGTAGGTGAATTTTTTCTGGGTTTTTTGGTTTGGGCCTGGAAGACGAAGTCAACTTTGGCGTTGTTTGGGTCGGTCGGTACGTCTGACCGAGTGGCGAGGAGGCGTGTGGTGGATTAGAGGATCGGTCACTCAGGGCGAGTGAGTTTTTAGGTTGAGGGATTAGTGATCAAGGTGAATAGACGGCTACGATTGAAGTTTGAGGTGGATCATTCGTCTGGGGCGAACGAGTTGGTGCTCTATTGATTTTGGCTTAGGGTCATTCGGTTGGAGGGATCGACCCAGGGCAAAGGCTCGTTGTGGGGCAGATTGACTAGCAAGCTTTCACTCTTTCGGTCGGTCGGCTAGGTGGGACGACTGGTACGCTCCCTTCAATAGAACCGGTCGACCGAGGTTGAGGAGGCCGATTTTGAGGGCATCGTTCGGTGTTGAAGGGCGACCTGTGGTTGGTTCACACTTGTGCTTTAGTTTTAGTTTCCTTAAGGAAGGAGTCGGTCGGTTGGGACGGGCGAGTNATCTGTTAATCATCTGATTAATCTTCTTGAGTTAATTATTTGTGATAATTAATTAAAGAAATCTTTATGGTTGGAAAGCAAACGAAATGTTTAGTATTTTTCTAAATATTGATGACTATATTACTACGTTTATATAGAATCTTAATCTTAATCCCAACACAACCTTATAAAGAAATAAAATAAACTTTTAGTTTGAGTGTTATGGAAGGAGAAAACCCTTATAAACAAAGCTATTCATACAACTTTTTCCTTTATACGTTTGAATTAGATATATATAAGTATACTTTTTACTCAAATTGGGGATTTGAATTCATTCATACTTTGTAACCTGTATTGGTGTGCAAAATAATCTACCAAACAAGCCACATAATTCTAGATCCACTAGAATATGTAAAACAAAAAATAATCTCTTCTCTACTAAAAAAAAAAAAAAAAAAAAAAAAAAAAAAAAAAAAACAATATAAGAACAGTGAACATAGGATTTATATTAAGCATCCAAACCACTTTAATAATATTTTCCTTGTGCTATTATTTGATTTATTATTTCATCCATCGATCCAATATCGAAATTACGGGTTTTACACAAACTCCTACATAGATTTTATCATAGGTTCTACGTCATTTTTATTGGTGCGAATTACAACATCAACAAGATATAAAATTTCATTATGTATAATTGACATATACGGATATGTATATAATTAATTAATTTTATATTTTATATTAAATATAACCCTAATCTTCTATTGTTGTAGGCATGTCCTTGTCAAAACTTGTTCATGAAAGTGATATTAAATTGCAAATTAACAACCAAAATCTTTTTCTTGGGATAATGTGGTTAAATAAGTCAACTTAGAGAGGGTCTACAACAAGCTTTGCTTCAAATCTCTACCGTCCATTTGTAGATCATGAAATATTTTAATTTTCATGAAATATTTTCTATTATTTTAAAATTTTTAAAATTAATGGCCCAGTTCATGAAGGAAAATATTAAAATGGGAAATATATTCTGTTTTAAGTAAGGCTTAGAAACATTCCATTTATGAATTCAAATATTCTGACGTGGCATCATGTTATTAATTGTTGAAAGTCAAAAAAGGCTACCAATACAAAGCCCTAATCTGATGTGGCAGCTGGTGGGTTCGGTTGCTCGTATCTTTCATGAACCGTCAGTTCTGTAAACTGAAGTTCATGTAACTCTAATGTCTATCCCCACGCGCTGGTCATGTGCGTCGCACAAACTAAAATTTCATCCACTATTTTCAATTTTTGTAGTTATTTACCTACAAATATCCGATTTATTAAAAAACAGAAAATTTTAGATATTATTAAAGAATTTTATATTTTAAATGGAACCAAATGAGGAAGAATTATAAATATAGAATATATTAGTCAATGAAAATTTTATTTTGAGGAGAATAGATCTTTGATGAACCGAAAATTTGATTAAATAATATTTAAGAGATATAAATGGTCATGTATCTTAAAATTGAGGGGACTCTAAATTTTACAAGAACATCAATTTTTATCGTTGATATATATTTTCACACAAGCAAATGTTGTTGGAGTTGGAATACTCAACATATATTAACATAGATGACTTGTATTTACTGTGAAAACCCTGTCCTAACATATTTGTATCGTTGGAGTCTAACGTTATGATATAAACTTTGCATCGTAATAGTACACTCAAGGATCGTTTATCGAGATGCTTATTATCCTAATTAAGTGATGTGTCATTTTATTACGTGAATTTGATATGTAAATGAAGAGTTGAAACATGAAATGATATATTAATACTACAAAAGATATTTATTAAAGATCTTTTATATATATATATAAAAGATGTAACATTGTACCTATAACCATTATTGAATTGCTATCCTCACACGTTTTGTCTAAGGAAAAGGAAGCTATTCATGGAAAATTTAATATGGTAATGAAATTATCAATAAATTTCTTTTTTAATTACTTGACAAGTAGTGCTAAAATCTGAAATCCATAGCCAAGGCCAACAACCGCGCGTGAGAATAACCATTACATCCCTTCTTCCAAATTGCCAGCATCAACGTGCAGCCATGCACGCAGCATCCTTTCATTTCATATTCATCACCCTATAAACTATAAACAAACGTTCCTTCAGCAAGAATCCTTCAAAGACGTGAAAAACAACTCAATTCCATTCAAAGATATGGCTTCATCTTCCTCCTCTAAACCCACAAATTTCAACCAAAAACTCTTCATCATCTCCCTCTTCCTCATCTCCTTCTCCCTCCTCATCATCGTCTTCTCCTTCAAGCCGCAACCAACCCATTTCCCCGACTCTCCCTCACTCCAAACCGAGCCTCTCCCCCTCACAAACAAGCCCAAATGGCTCGAACTCATTCGGGAACACGTCGCCGGTCAAAAAATCAAAGTTGGTTTAGTCAATGTAAATAATTATATACATGACGTCCATGGAACGTCCGCTGAAACCGTTCATATACATTTCGATCGTGTTCCCGATGATAAAAGATGGGGTGACTTTTTCCCGGAATGGATTGATGAAGATCACAAGTGGCAGACGCCGTCGTGCCCGGAAATTCCGATGCCAAGGCTGGAAGAGTACAGGGACCTTGATGTGATAGTGGCGAGAGTTCCATGCGGAGGAGGAGACGAGAAGGAGGGGATTAGGGATGTGTTTAGGTTACAGGTTAATCTCGTGGTGGCAAATCTTGCGGTGGAGAGTGGGAGGGTGAACCCGGATTCTGATCGGACGGTGTACGTTGTGTTTGTGGGGTCTTGTGGACCTATGATTGAGATATTTAGATGTGATGATATGGTGATGCATGTAGGGGATTACTGGGTTTACAAGCCGGAATTGAGAAGATTAAAACAAAAAGTTATTATGCCTGTTGGGTCATGCCAAATCTCTCCTGGATATGCAGAAACCGGTGAGTTTTAGTTCAATTTTTTTACTGAATTTTAATCTGTTTAATTAGTGTTTTAATTACCTACTATAATTATCTAGTTATTAGATTTCTACCTGAAAGGTTTAGTTTGGTTACCTAACATGGAAGAAAATATTTTTGTTGCCATATATAGATACAATTGTCCTAGGGTTTGAATTGTAAGATCGAGTACTTGTTCTAATTTAATTTAGAGTAAACGATTTTCCCACCCAAGGTTTGCCTTAATGACATTTTTTCATCCAAAAAGTTTCAAAATACCACTTTTTTATCCAAAATTAATATTCAGTTATTACCTAAAGTCGATTCCGGCAACGAAAATTCTCTCTGTAGTCACCATTTGAACCTCCAATCTCTTCTCGATAAAAATCCTCTTACTCTGACACCTAATTTTTTGCAGATTGTCAGCCACTATAAGATTAGAGTTTCCTATTCTTAGTTGATTTCCGCCGGCAAATATTCAATCGATCACCACAATTTTATCGATCGGCTTCTACTCTACAAAATTCTTTTTACCTTAGCTCTTAGTAACTTGTCAAACATTGGCTAAAAAAGTGAAATGTATTTTGAATATTAACGGAATATAAACGTTGGGTGGGAAAGTGATATTTTGAAACTCGTTGGGTGGGAAAGGGTCATGACAAATCTTGGGTGGGAAAAAGTCCTTTGCTCTTTAATTTAAATTAATAAATAGTAACTAACCAGTAAATATAATTAAATAAGGGTCTTTTAAGTTTTAATTAAAACCTTGTTTAATAACAATTAAGTTATTCTTAATTTTTGCATTAATTAGTTCCGAATTTTAGTAAGTTTTGTTTTCCATTAAGCTTTAATAAATGTTATGCAATTTCTCCAATCTATGCTTTCAATTTTGATTCTTAAAATGGATTATATATATGTATAATAAGTTTGGTGAATTAATGCAAAATATCTGTATATATCATTCATGAATCAGCATCTTATCTCCAAATTTGTCAAGCAATTTATTAATAAATTAATATATAACTTAAGTTGGTTGCCATCATATATAATTAAGTCAGAATTGATTCGGTACGTAACCTCCATATTAGAGATCTTATATTCATTATTTGTCTGATTAAAGACTATGACATCTTTCATTAGAGAACTGCGTAGTTTTTTTTTTTTTTTTTTTTTTAATGTGTGGAAATAGTAAAAATGTATATATACATTATACGAGAGGTGTATCCTAAAAGAAGGTCAAAACCGATCAAAACGAAAATGCCCATTATTTTGGACACGCAAGGCCAAAAGAGGGCACAACCGCTATAAAAATTATTTAAAGCCATGAACGCTCTACTCTCGTCATGTTTACGTTGGGAGGTGATGCATTTCCATACGTTTTTCAGTTTGATTTTACTGTTGTTTCTTCGAGTTGCAGGAAAAGAGGAATGGAGATATTTCTTGCAAACAAAATTGAATTACACCGCACACTATGAAACAGAAGCCTATGTAACAGTTCTTCATTCCTCAGAAGGTTATGTTTGTGGAGCAATCGCGTTGGCACAAAGCATAATCCAAAGCAACACTAAAAGAGACCTTGTTCTTCTTCATGATAAATCTTTAAGTGACAAATCTATACGTGGACTTCGAGCTGCCGGATGGAAGACGAAGCTAATTTCGCGTATTCGCAGCCCGTTTTCCGTAAAAGACTCATACAATGAATGGAACTACAGCAAGCTTCGTGTATGGCAACTCATTGAATATGAGAAAGTAATTTTTATCGACGCCGATCTTCTTGTCTTACGGAACATCGATAAGTTCTTCTTTTACCCGCAGTTATCAGCTGCAGGAAACGACGGATCGTTGTTCAACTCAGGGATTATGGTGATCGAGCCATCTTTGTGCATGTTCGAGAAGTTAATGGTGAAGAGCTTCAAAGTGGCTTCATATAACGGAGGGGATCAAGGTTTTCTCAATGAAATTTTCACATGGTGGCATAGATTGCCTTCGAAGATTAATCATCTCAAGGTGTTTCGTACTCTTGATAATAAGGATGGCAACAACGATGAACATCGAATCCCGGAAAATCTTTATGCGATTCATTATCTGGGATTGAAGCCATGGTTGTGTTACAAGGAATATGATTGTAATTGGGATATGGTGGATCACCATATATTTGCGAGTGATTCAGCTCACAAGAAATGGTGGAGAGTTTATGATGCCATGCCGAAGAAGTTGCAGAAATTCTGTGGGTTAACAAAGCACATGAGTTCGAGGATTAAGAAGTGGAGATGGATAGCTAGAAATTCAAGTTTTGTTAATGGACATTGGAAGATTAGAATAAGAGATCCTAGACAATACCATCTTGTTCAATAATTAAGCACTACCATTAATTTCTGTGGTATGAAGATGCTAATTTTGAGTTAAAATTTGAAAATTTAATTTAGAGCGGAATATAACAAATAGTTCATCATAATTACTTTATTTTTCTAATATTTTTATTTTATTAATATTTATTATATTATATTGATGTTGTCATATGTATTATAAAACTATATCGATCTGAACCAAACCCCATTCAGGTTAGGATCTAGTAGTCCAGATATTATAATTTAAACTATTAGGATATATCTCTTATTCTAATAGATATTAAACCATGTAAAGGCAATAGGGGTAATTCAATTGTATTTGTAAAGGTGAAGAAGGAATTTACTCCAAATTCAATCTTCTTTGCGTAGAAAATATTGTTTCAAAATTAATTTTGATTAATAGTTATGAGTTTGACGGGGGTATTTACAAGTATTTGAAAAGTCAGGTCCTTAAAATGAGCCAGTAACTCAGGGTGAGTTAATTCTTTCTCTCATCAAATTAATCCAGGAAGTGATAATTGCAAGAATTGGTGCTTAATGATAACGTATCTTGTATTGGCAAGTGGCTACTTGTCATCACTTCATAGGTTTGGGTCTCTCATTAGACAAATTTCTCAGGCTTGGGCTGTTAATGATCCAGTTTTGATTATTTGACCTTTCATCTCCGTGGGCCTATTTTCGGGTTATGAGGAATCTCGAGTCTAGGTTGTCTCAAGTCCAATTTGTTTAAGGTTGATGTTAACTTGGGTCTTTCTTTGATCCTTCAATCAGCATTTGTTAAATAAGTGTTAGGTACATAGTCTTTGAAAATTATGTAGTAAGCTCCAGTTAATTAATTTACACTTTAGTCTTTTCTCTGGTCTTTCAACTTGTGTTTTTTTAAATAGGAAATATGTGAACAAGCCAAGGAAGCAGGTGACAACTTGTGTGTATAGGTCTGCTGGTTCACATTACTGCAGTCTTTCTTTAATTGTTAAATTGAGAAGATGAACTTGTTTATATATAAGACATAGTAACTCAAATAATGTGGAAGGAAGCAGAAGAGAAAAAGTATTATCGAAGAGAGATGGAGAGAGATACCGTGAGTAACAAATCCATGTGAGCTATGACAATATTGGAGAGAAGGATCTGGGGAAATTGCTGCTCTCAACCACACTATTATTTTTGCATTTTTTGCCAAAATATTCAGGTTCTGATGAATTCACTTATTCATGTTCTTAATTTGTTTTGTGATAATTAATTAATAGGATTGCTTCAGAATTTTTAATTGATTGGATTAATTTCTACACTGGATGCTTATGATTTCCATGTAATATTTGCTCGCTACAACTCTCATTTTATTCTGTTTTTCTTTTTTTATCTTCACCGAGAGGTTTAGAATGGATGAAATATGCTTTTATACTGCATAATATTATCTTAAAAAATAGTTACTTAATCTCAAATTACTCTCCTCACAAACAATATTTTGAAAACCGGATTGCCCCTTGACCCGTTCAAGGGCTGCTTCCGGTTTTCCCGGTCAGATTGAACTTAATAGAAATACCCATGATAAATTACACATCAATCTATAAAGGTTTAAAATCTAGCAAACACACCCCCATGATATGGATAGAAAAGCACGAAGAAGAAAGTGGCAGCAATGACGATCAGATGCCAATCGGACTTTAGGATGTTGGGGTTTTGATGTGGAGATGAAGGTTATGCCAATGGTGGTGTCAAGTGGGGTGTTTTGGTGTCGGAATTAAGGAGGAAGCTGCCGGTTGGACAAACGGTTTGTTACTATTCCATCGGTCCAAATCTGACCCAATCCTGGCCAATTGCAAAACTGAGTTTGAGGGGTAAACCGAACTAGAGTTGGAGTCAATTCCTAGTTGGACTGGTTCGACCAGTCGGTCCGGTCCGATTTTCAAAATAGTGCTCACAAATTTTCAAATGTATTATCTTTTTCACTACTATTGGCTTATCTAAGTTATTCGCACTTTAATAGAGCTTGTTACATCTACTTATCGGAGTTGGATGTCTTTAAATAAAATATTTGATTTAAATTTTCAACCATATGTTTGTACCATTTGATTCAATGGTCTAAAATCTCAAAGTGCTAGATATTTAGGCAACACGTGGGACTGTCACATGTTAAATAAGAAAATTATCTTGAGATCCTTAACAAGATGATTAAAGTATGTTATATATATATATATATATATATCGACTACTTATTAATTTCCGGGCAAAATATTCAGGTTCATATGCGCACCTATTTCATTACTTCTAATTATATATTTGTGTTCTTTCTGTTTGTCATTTTGGTAAAGAAAAAATTAATCCTAATTATTCTGATGTTTGGTTTAAAAAATTAATAAACCATGCATAAATAACATGTTATGAATATCAATGCATATGCTTACAAAGAAAACGAAACTAACTCTGAAAATAGTTTAAGATGTTATATAAAGTACTATAGGATTTATATATTAAATTGAATCTTGTTGTTAAGTTGACATTTCACCTAAAAGCACGCATAAGCTAGTAAGTAGTTACTCAACATTATATTAATTGCTATTTGTTTTTGTTTTTTTTTAGAATTATTATTTTAGGATTACAAACAAAAGAATCCCTTACTTAGCATCCAAGTGATGCAAATTGCATTTATTTATTTATTTTTAGTGACTATTTTGTCTGCACTTTGATTATAGGAATGAACTTGGAGATGAGTGCTTCTATAAAACATGAGGATTTGGTGAAAGAATTGCTAATTGTAATTGACAAAAACTTGGAGTTTGAGCCTTCTCTTGATCAATGTTGTATTTATTGGTCAAATACGAATACATCCATTTTATTAAGAATTTTATTCTTGGGAACTTTGATAAAAATTAATGAAATGAACTCCAATGGAATCCATCTCAACTGAGAATTAATGGTCCAACCACCCCTTCAAAAGCAACCAATGTGAAATTTGAGTCTGAACCTGAAGTAACCAAGTACAATAATTAAGCAAGCGAAAGCAGAAGCCTTGCAAAAGAAGCCACACATATATTACAAGCTTAACAGTAAAAAAGATTCTCTATATTGCTTATAAATTTTCATAGGAAAATAAAATCAGTTTAAAGAGAAATTAATGTTCTGTTGAAATCTTTTCTTCTTAAATTAAAACTTTAAAAAAAGAAAAGAAATAAAATCAGCTTTCATTGCTCATTCTCTAACCAAAGTTTAAACATAAGAGGAATGTGATCTTAATTTGAATCCAAAATTTTGTTCTTTCTTATTATGAATTTGACATTTTTCCTTTTGAGTTTTAATATTTATATTAGAGCATAAACTTGGGTTTGGTTAATCTTTCATAGCTTGATTTCTTTTAATTTAGCATAGCAATCCAAGAGATGAACTTGAAGAGCAAAATGTGATATCGAAATAAACGATTCACTATGTTGTAGTCAAGTGTTTGTAATTTCATTTTAACGTGACCATATATAGTGGCTGACTTTAATCTCGCTTTGCTAACTATTGGATTGAAATACATTACAATCCAAGATTAATGAGAATCATTATCCCATTCAAATTCTCATTCTCATTCATTTCCACAAATCAAACATTCTCATTCAACTTTGAATAAATTCAAAGAATATAAATCTTAAAAAATAGAAATGAGAAATTATAATGATAAAAGGGGTTGCTGATGGGACTGTGTTCCATAAATTGTAAACAATTTTATTATACAATTGGTTTTCTCTCACCAGCATTTGAGCATTATTTGTCATAAACGACTTTAATTAAACATACTCTTTTTAATTAAATTTATTCTATTATTAAGTAAATCCCACTTGATCTGTAAATTAGAAATGTTAAATCGGCAACATGCGCTTTAGGAGAATATTCATGAATTGATTTTGACACCAACTACTCGCACGTGTAAAATGCTAAAAATAACTTAGAAGTCACACATGATATGAGGGGATTGAATCAAATAAAAGGTGAAGAGTAATATTTAAAGTGGTTCGGATGCTCTAAAGCGAGTCCTACGTCCACTGCTATTATATTAATGAGTGAGAGAGATCAATTTGCGTTCTGCCAGCACAGTTTAGAGAGAGAGAGAGAGAGAGAGAGAGAGAGAGAGAGCTATTTTAGTGTAAAATCAGCTATATCCCTTCAAATGAGAGGGAAGTCCTCTATTTATAGTGGGAAAGTTCCAGGTAATGATTATGAAAGCTGCAAGTGGGTAGGTGCCGTGCAAATCCTTTCTTTGCATCCCATTGATCACCTGCTCGAGGGATTTCCTCGATTAAAGCAGGGCTTTGACATGTGGGCGATCTCCAACCGCTTGCTGGCCTGGCACTCACTTGTTGCACTTACAGAAGCCATGCCACTTGCACTAGGCATGATGTGGCCGTACCTGGATGGCGTAGAACCCTTCTACTTTGACCATCCTTTACTGACGAGGCTCCACGTCAGTCCTACTATTTCCAGCATAACACTTTTGTTCATATCTGTGTAATTAAAAGGGTTGGTTAAAGGAAAAGTTTCCTAACTTAGCTGCTAATCATAATCAATAATTAATCATATAAGTTAAAAATTAAAAAGAATTAATGGAATAAGTTGTCAGATAACCACCACCAAATCGTCATCATGAATGTCCAATAAACCGCTGCTGGCACTGATGAATACGCACGGTGGTCATTGAATTAAAGTACACTTATTGTATCAAATTACTGGGAAAACAATTAGATTTTTTTTTTTTTAACCAACTGAATATAACATAGTGGTCGAATCGACCGTAATTAATTTCATTTTAATGATTGATTATGCGGAAAAGCCGACATGTAACAACCGAGTGGGCTCGCCTTCAAAAGGCATAAGCTTGCAGAGGAAGAAACAAAGCCGCCCTTGCTAGGACAATGTGCCCTCTTTGCACAAAGATTGCTTCGCCAACAAGAATGCGGCTTTAATGTCTTTCCATGTGTCTGCCTACATGGTGGTTGCTTCATCCACCCAGGCAAAGATGCGGCACCATGT